CTTTGTTATGCCAATTGACCTAGATGTCCCCTGAAAGCATGGTCCCCAGACCCCTACCCCTGCTACTGTGTCCCTCAAAGTGTTTGATTGTATTCAGGAAACTTCTTAGCTTTGGTCTAGTCCAGTTGTGCTGACTTCCCCAGTAGTGTGTGCTGTCCTTCCCTTCACCTAAGATAATTCTTATCTGCTATGTAGTTAGTAAATAACCCTCACCCTCTCTTGCCACCCTCGTAACCATCAAAGAATGTTTTCTTCTGAGTTTAAACCTTTTCTTGAGTTCTTATAATAGTAGTCTTATACAATATTTGTCCTTCTGTGACTGACAAAATTCACTCAGCATAATGCACTCCAGATTCGTCCGTGTTATGTTTCATGGCTTCATTGTTGTTCTTTATCATTGGGTAGTATTCCACTGTGTGGATATACCGTATTTTGTTTATCCGTTCATCCGTTGATGGGCACCTAGGTTGTGTCCCTCTTTTTGCTATTGTGAACAGTGCTGAAATGAACATGGGTGTGCATATATCTATTCATGTGATGGCTCTTATTTCTCTAGGATATATTCCAAGGAGTGGGATAGCTGGATTGCATGGTACTTCTATTTCTAGCCTTTTAAGGAAGTGCCAAATTGATTTCCAAAGTGGTTGTACCATTTTACATTCCCACCAAGTGTACAAGTGATCCAGTCTCTCCACAATCTCTCCAGCATTTATTAATTTGTGTTTTTTAAATTAATGCTAGCCTTGCTAGGGTGAGATGATATCTCATTGTAGTTTTGACTTGCATTTCTCTAATGGCTAATGATCATGAGCATTTCTTCATGTGTCCGTTAGCCGCCTGAATATCGTCTTTGGTGAAGCGCCTATTCATATCCTTTGCCCATTTATTAATTGGGTTATTTGTCTTTTCTTGGTGAGGTTTTGTAGTATCTTGCAGATTTTAGAGATTAGACGCTGATCGGATTTGTCATAGCCAAAAAATTTTTTCCCAGTCTGTAGGTTGTCTTTTTACTCTTTTGGTGAAGTCTTTTGATGAGTATAAGTGTTTCATTTTTAGGAGCTCCGAGTTATTTAGTCTCTCTTCTGGTGCTTGTGCATTGTTACTTATGGTTCGTATTGTGTTTATGCCATGTATTAGGGTTCCTAGCGTTCTCCCTATTTTTTTCTTCCATGATCTTTATCATTTTCAATTTTATAATTAA